TTTCTACGATATTTTTCATAAAAGATGCACTTTTGGGTTGTTGTGTCTTATTTTTAAACTTTGACATGCATATTTTGTACCCCGTACCCCAAGGGTCTACGTTTGCTTCCTCACAGAGCTTTTCAAAACATTTCCTTTTGCTGCGGGCAATGGCAGACTTCAGAAGCTTTTGTCTTTTAAAAATTTCCCTGAGACCGTTTGAATATCCCTCACATTGGTTACGCTGTAGACGGCGTTAAGTTGCATTACAGAGCTTTCTCAGCGTAGCTATCTCTTCATTCTACCAATAGGCTGGCTTTCGTTTATTGTGGTGTACTATTTTACGCAGAGTTGCATTGCATGCTGTGCTCAGTTCATGTGGTCACTATTTGTAAATATATCCGACACCGTCCACTTTATGTGCTTACCTAGAGCGTCGTTTGCAAACATGAAATCGATTATTGAGCCTTTGTTTCCTTTTTGGAAGATATTTTGCGTTCCGTTATTCATTATCGTAAGGTTCGTCTGACTCAGGAATTCTAGTAGCAGACGTCCACGATGGTTTGTGCGTCTGCTTCCCCATGATGACTGGTAATTTCCCTCTGATTTCTAGAGCAAGCTCCAGGAGGAAGTTTTCAAAATCTTTTATTGAGGCGCTGGGACGAGCATAGCAACTAACAAAGTATATGCCACGTATATTTGCCCATGTGAAACAGTTATGATCTTTGGAGCAGGATATAAAAGGTTGGCCTTTACGTCACGTTATTGCAGCCTTGCCAGATATGTCTGTGGTCGCTGGGAGTATTGTTCGCTTAGTAAGGCGACATCAATATTTTCCTCAAATATTGTCTGTTGAAGCAGATCTTGTGCTGCAGTACAGTGGTTTAAATTTAGCTGCAATATTCTCATTTTCCTAAAGGCTTTAACATCTCCAAATACTTGGGTTGCCCCACTGTCGTACTCAATACTGAGTGGGGTCCTTTACAAAGCATGCAGCTTGGGTCACTGGTGCATGACTTTGCTACATGTCCACTGGCGCCACAACGTGTGCATACGGACGATCTGTCTACGGGGTTGCAACATTTGCATGCCCTAGTTGGAAACACCTAAAGCAACGGGGAATAGGAGAGTATTCCCGGAGGAGGCAGATAGACCACCTGATCTTAACTTTGCCTAATTTAAGCGCAGCCTTGGCATCCTGAGCGCGCAGGCATATGAGAGCTATTTGGGTACCGCTTCGGGTCTTTCGCATACTTTTAATGTTAATTTTCCCCAGATTCTGTATCCCGCACTCCTTTTGCAGGGCTTCGCAAATCTCTTCCGGAGTTGTTATTTCATCTAAATCCTTACACATAATCGTGACGTTGTCGGTTTTGGGCTGTATCACTGCCATTTCACCGATCACTCCCTTTAAGGCGCTTTGAAACGCTTCAGCTCTCTTTTCCGCTTGATTTTTTAGTTCCGAAAGCAGGTCTCCCTTCAAGGTTTTCCTTATGTAGGACACGCTTGTGCCAAGTTCCTCTAGTCCGCTCTCACCTTTTATTTTCTGGAGGATGTCAGCGTAGAATGCACCATCTTTTTTTGTGAGTATGATGGCGTCTGGACTTGATCTGATTTTCTTTTCGATCGGCCTTCTTTTCTTAACAACGTCCACCCATGTTTCGCCTACGCCGGGTTTAACCATAGTATCGCCTTGAAATATTTTCGTTGTTGCACTGTGTTTTCGTTAACTCGTTGTAAGTGGGCTGCGCTGTTTTATTTATGTTTTTTATATTTTTAGGCTTTTCTGTTGGTGATAAAAAGCCTAAAGTCTCTCGCAGCCTTTTTAAAGTATTCACATTTTTTCCAATGGGGGATACTTGGGATGCTTTTTCTACCATAGTCCCTTTGGGTAGGTTTTCTCCTTTCTCAGCTTTGGCATGTAGCGTCACTATGTTGCTAACTAAGCCGCGCATGGCTTGGTTCATATGCCTTTGGCCTGCCATCATACTCTCCAGTTCCTTAATCTTACTACCCAACTGGTTAACGATCTGGGTAGTTTCACTATTTTGTGGTTCTCCAGCAGGTTTGAGCATGAGATTGTCATTGCCTGGTTAGCATTTTCACAAACGGTGGGTAGCTCATTTTTCCCAATAGGAGACGTTCTCATAATTTTAGAGTTCCTTCTAAATGGATTCTCTGGGGTGCACCCACTAGCGTTCTCAGAGGATATACCTCAATGAGAAAATAGTTGGAAACACCTGACAGTAAGTATGTTCAGTTGCTGCCCCTAAAACCTTGCTAATATTTTCGTTAGTTGGCAATGCCAAAACCAAAAAGGGAATAGAAAAGGAGAAACTGAAAAGGAGAACAGCTGATTGACCAAGACAAAAGGGCAGAGCAAAGAAATCACTTTAGTTGGTGTAGAAGAACTAGGAGATTTAAGAAAAACCCCAGTACCGCACCAAAAACACAACCACTTCACTTGAAATACAACAATAATCCGATGTCTGTCTGTCTGTCTCTCTGTCAGCTGCAATTTGAGTAAAAATTTATACATCTTGATGAAACTTAGTACCAAGGATGACATGATACAAAACTCTTTGATTTTAGAGAGCGCTGTCAAAGTCCACATTTTTTATAAAACTTTTTAATGTATTGTTTAATGTATGTCTTGGGTATTTTTCGGTTTTCATATAAGAAAAATATACATAATTAATACTAGGTTTAACAAACTAGATATCTTATATGAGGTCAAAATATATGTACATGTTTATTTTATTTACAAATGATTTTCAAAATTAACTTTATAAAATATTTTAACATTTCCAAACACTAACAAGTTTTAAATAACCTAAACATGAACATTACTTATTGTTTATATACTCAATAAACAAGTATATTGTATTTTGATATTTTATTCGGAAGTCAAAGTTTACATAACATTTGCTGGGAATTTTAACCAAAATATGTATATATAATATATACGGTGAAAATTGGTACTGATAAGCAAAACAATACTCTGCGATAAAATACTCGCTCTTTCTTAAAATCAAAACTATATTAAAAGTCGTTAAATAAATATTAGAAACACACGTAAAAATCACTAAAAAATCTGATTTCACAAATAACCCACTGATTTCGCAATTTCTGCGCGATTCTTTGTGGTAGTTCTATTATTCTATTCTAGTTAAGCTTGTCATCTGTTCAGTATTCGAACTTTCAGTGCTGCCAAGAAAAACCACGAGATCATGAGCTCTCTCAGAAGGCAAAGAGCGTATCATTTTATCCATGCTTAGTACACGTTAAGGATGACATAATAGGAAACTCTTTGATTCGAGAGAGCGCTGTGAAAGTCCTCATTTTTTATAACATTTGTCAATGTTACCACTGTGGAAAAATATGTTAGGAAATTTTTATTAAATTTTTTGGGAGTTTGTAATTTCCCCGCCACAGCTAAGGTATACAAAAGGTGCGTTAAAGAAAATAAGTTTTGGGTGCTCGGTGCCTCCGTAGGCCAAATAGGTACAAGATAAAATCACAATAATTTTAACGAAATAATTCTATTTTTCTAGTAATTAAAATAATTTACGAACCTGGATCTATTCTTCTCCTTGTTAGGGAAATTGTATAAACGTCGTGCTCCTACGCACCCAGCCTCACACCGATTTTTACATTTTATACATATTTGTATATATATATATATAATGGTTCAATAATATACTTACCAATTTTATTTTATATAAAAACACTTATACAAATATTTTATATTTTAATAAAAACAATATCAATTTCACTGTTGCTGCTTCAGCATAAAACTTCCTTATGAAAAATAATGGTAAGGGCACTTGTGAGCTAAACATTTTTAAAGAGGAGCATGGTCCCGCTCTCTAAATGGTTGAATGTATATATCTTCCAAGCCACAAAGAAGTCTTTTTAGTTTTTTAACTTCCCGTTAAGAAAATTGAAAATTTTCTAAAACTCGGGAAGTTATTGGTTTCACCCCATTTTGAGTTCTCAACAGATCTCGACGTTATGAGGGTCCGTATGTCTGTATGTATGTGTGGATGTGTGTGTGTGTGTGGATGTATGTAAACCTCTTATAACTTTTAAACGGCTCAACCGATTTGAATAAAATTAACGGCATTCCAAAGGGTTTCATTGCACTTGAATTTCGTGTAATTTGGACCCAATCGGGGTCGAAGAGCTCAAAAGCAGTGAAAAAAGCGAAATTTGAACGTTAACGTATGGAATTAGCGGGAAGTTGCAAGGATAGCCCTTGAGGCCAACCGTTTTCCACATTTTTTTTTCTAGTATTGAAATTCCTAAAATGGGTAAAATCGGGTTAATACTTCCCTTTGCCCAAAAACCTAATACAAAGGCCTTCGATCTTCCGGTTGATTTTATACCATCCATCGGTCAATATGTTAGAAATCTCAATGAAGTTCCGAAATAAATTCTTTCTACTAACAGTGTATCTTCTTGATGTGATTGCAAATAATGGATTCAATACTTCATACTTTTAATAGAAAATTATGTACGAAAATCCCGTATATCATTTTACCTTGCGGGAGTATAAAATGTTCGAATACACCTGACTTAGACCTTCCTTACTTGTTTTTATTATATATAGCTTATGTTTTCTAAAGTAAACATTTTGCTTAATTTGTGAGTCTTACCGTACGATATATTGGCACACGAGCACTTAAACGAATTTTGAAGAAAGTGATGGACAGATCAGAAGCAGACAGAATGCGTTTGAATAAGGCGCCCACAGGTGCTTACGCGATTAATTACTCTTGACACGCACAAAACAGGGCAGGCGGAAACATGATAAAGGAAAGAAATTAGTTATTGTGCTTTGCGTAAAAATATTATCTGCTTCATTTTTATTTACGCCATTAACAATGTGGTCAGCGACGCAAGCGCGAGGCAGCTGTGTGTTGTGCACCTTTACTCACACAAACTAATGGCACTGCTTGTGTTGCAAAATGTTTAACTTATCTGATCGGATTTTCGGACCATGTATTGTAAATTTTTACCTTTGTTGTGAGATTGTAATTAAGTGTGAAATTATGCTAACGATTTCTGAATCTTAGGTTGTAACTGTAGACCGTACCACAGTTTTCAATATTATTTGTGTTGAACTCGTCTTTCAAAGGCACAATTGGATGTATTTTCTTGGCAGCTAATTTAAAATTATGATTTTGGAAAAATTAATTTAGACAGAAGAGTCAGTGATTTGTTGTTCGGCAGCACGTTTTGGGTTGAAGAAGCTTATAAAGCTTAAAAACACAAAGTGAAAAACACTGGTGCACATTTTAATCAATACAATAAAAAGTGGATATTACCTTACGAGGCAAGACAAGAGAACACGGATAAACAATTCACGGATATACATATATACCCAACGTCTAAAAACATTCCAAAAGGAAATAACCCAACACGCAACAGGTTAATATACGATTCATTATAATTTTACTAAATTTACATTATATGGCAATATACATTTATTGTATATGTTCACCCAAATATATTTAGGTATATAAGTATAGGGTAGCTCTGGATTGTGTTACTAAAACAAACCATAATAAATTTTTTTCTGTATGATTATTCGACATACTTACTACTACGGAAAAAGGGGTCCGGATAGTGCAGCGGTACCATGCTTTGCCGTCCGTCATGTCCATCAAAAGGGAATTCAGACGGGATTTTGGCGGTACACCCCGAGCAGATGAACCATTATGAGGTTGGTAAACATGTTTGTCGAATCTGGAAGAATCGCACAAAAGCAGCACCATCGATATCCGTATGTTCGTGTTCAAGAAACAATCGCGGCTGTTGCATTGTTAATTCAGGCAAATCCAAAAGTTTCGACTCGCAACTAATCGGCGCAACTTGGAGTTAGCAGACGGTCATTGCAACGGATAATTTATGATGACTTAAATCTGTTTCCATATAAAGTTCAAATAATAAGCCAGTTAAACCTCTAGATTTGCCTATTCGCCTGGAATTTTGGCATAAAATGATAGAAATAGCTGAAGAAGACAATAACTTGATTAATTGCATGTTTATGTCTGATGACGCCCATTTTGATCTAAACGGAAATGTAAACAACCTAAATGGCTGTTAAGGAGATATATTCTCCGAGAGGGAACTTTTTATACTCCCGCAACTTTCAAAGGAAATTACGTCAGGTGCTGGCAAATTTGTATATTAAAGGAAGTATTGCTCCGGATCTACCCATTTTTGACACAAGTATATATGAATTTCAATTATATATCTTACACATTGACCGATATTTTCGGTTAAAAGTCAACTATAGGCACTTATGTTCACATATTCAGTATTTAGGGGCTTGAACAGTTTTGGTTCGATTTAGACAATTTTTGGTCACAAAGTGGCATACTTAAACATTGTTGCTTGATTTGCATAATGGAAAGTGCAATAATCAGATGGAATTTAAAATGGTGTTATATGGGGAATAGGCGTGGCTGTAATTCGATTTCGCCCACTTTCGCACTATAAAATTGAAATATGAGAAGAACGTTGTATACCGACTTTGGTTAAAGTCGTTTAAAAATTAAAGTCATCTTATACCATCCCAAAGATAAAATGTAATGTCTCTGGCGTATCTACTGCTGGATTTATCGCTCTTTTAGTAGGTTTTAACACTATTGTTTTATAGAGAGTGGGCGGGGTTGTCTCCCGATTTCACACTGTCTATAGAGGTGCTAGAGACATTTGTTCGCAGTGAATTTTGTTATGATAGCTTCTAACCGTACATTAAACCTATTAGGGGGCGGGACCACGAACTTTTTAAAAAAAAAATTTTTAACTGCAGATGTTCCTCCCTAATGTGATCCTGTATACCAAATAACAGTCTTGTATCTTATGGTGGAGCTTAGTTATAGCATTTATAATTTATAAATATAAAGATTATTGCACTTCTGGCTACATTTGCATATTGTGTCATATTTTAAATTATTAAGTGAACAATAAACCCTTTACATATTTTTTATTTTATAGATTATTTTTATTTTATAATTATTTTTGAAATTATAGACCTTAAATGACCTCCATGCTCAGCCACGCATATGCGACACCTAATTAGAAAATTATTCATTCAAGCCTGAAGGGTTGAAGTGGGGATTACCTCAATTATCTATTTAATGGACTGCTTTAATTCAGTCAGATTTCTGAGTTTTGTTTTGTGAGCCTCTTGCTTGACATAACCATATAAAAAAATGTCGGCGAAATAATTTTTTTCTATTTTTCAACATTTCAAATTCAAAAATTTATATCTTTGAAACGAAAAACAACACACCTCTGAAAAGTTCAGAATTCCTTTAGATATGTTTGAGGTATAATATAAAAAATTTTGAGGCCTAAATTGTCCGCGATTTTGAAAAATTTAAAAATTTTTAATTATGACAATTTTCAAAATCTTTTTCAAACAAATTTTTTTCTTATACATCTTATGTCCTTTATAAACGCACCAGCGTTTTTTGTTTCATAATATACAGTAGTTTCTGAAATATTGAATAAATAAACTAATAAAATAGTGATAATTTCAATTGTGAATAACTCTTAGGAAAATTTTTTAAAATTTTTTCCTTTGGCAGAACTTCGTTTTATGATGAGGCAAAACTCTCTGCCAAAATTCATCCAAATCGGTGGGGTCGCGTCCAACTATTTGTCGATTTGACATGAATGACCCTACTGAGAATATATTTAATATTCTTGCATAGAAAAGCGTTTTTAGTAACACATATGAAACAATTGTAGACAAAATTGCAAATCTTTTGAAGGTAAAACTAAGCATTAATATCACTATGCAATTGACATGACACTATGTGAAGAATATAAGCTCAATTTATAATGTGTTGATGATCAACCCTCTAAATAAAAATAGCACATGACAAAAGTGTCGCAGGGGCCATATGTCCTCATACTCCTACTAACCGAGTATAAAAACGCTCACTACTTAGGTACCTGAATATCTAATTGTTGATATAAAAGACTGTTTTAATAGTAAAATATGTAGATCTGAATATAGTTATGCTAACAAAAAGGTTTTTGTTCCCTTTTCGACTGTGTTGCCGTTGACATATATAGTTAAATTTATACCGTTGGAGAGGAAAAGAGATGCAGAAGTCCACAACGTTATTTTTTCGCATAAACATCAACGGTAAAATAGTGGTGTGGCTTCAATGTTCGATGATATTTCACCTGTGCGTGTCACTCTTAGCACAGTCGTATACAGAAGTACATTTCGTCGCTATTTTGTGTAAGTTGTAAATACATATGTCGGATAATTGTATATCGTTTACGACGGATTTTTGGTTACGATTTTTTTCCACATTGTGTTTGGACTCTGCTGTTACAACTACTTCTTAAATTTCAAGCATTACTTGTTAAAAATGTGAAGTGGAAATAACCTTTGATATCATTCGTTTTATTTTGGAGAATTCGAAATTTGTAGATTAATTTTAGGTCTATTGTTTAAAAGTTAAATTTTACAGAGAATTGGCAATGACGAATCTAATGTTAGACAGTTTAGTGAAAATATATATTTTTAAATTGTTTTCGACAACCTTTTTTTGGATTTTGTTCAAATTATTCAATAAAATTTAAATACTATTAACATTGTTAGTAAATTGTATTTATTATTCGTCGAATTTTGACTACATGCGACCCTAGTTTATATGACTAAGCGATTTTTTCCTGGTGGATGTTGCAACTAAAAATGGTCCGCTTAACATTTGTTAGCATCAATTGAAACCGCATTGAATCTTGACAGATTGGAAGTCTTTAAGGCCTTTCGCAATGTTTCCCGTTTCTTCTATTCATAAAAACATTAAACACTAGGCTAACTCCATTACAGAGTCCAAGGATGTTTTCAGCGTGCCACATTCTACAAAGGCAAAGCACTGATCTATGAAGTTCAATAGGCATTTAAAGGTGTGATTACATAGATATGTGTATGTGTTTCCGCTTGCGGCTTATGTGGCAGGTTTAGTTTTTCTGTTTTGCGACGCGTGCAATGACAGAAGCCTGATCGACTCAAGTTGTTCGGAGATGTTGCTATTGCCAACATTTGCTCTTCATCTTGGCTTTCGTCAAGCTAATGGAATAGGAAATTGTGCTTCAATTGGGCCTTGGTTTGTTGTGTTTGAAATTGATCATCGTCTTTATTTCATATCTTAATTGATTATTTATTATATAATATAAAAAAATGCGAATGCTGTGTAATTATATTCCAACCTGAAAGATAACTGGAAATATACATTTACATATCTAAGTGTGGCAAAATATTTGTTATAAGCGAAAATTGTCTTAACCTGTTTACTACTAGTGCGCGGTGCGATACCAGTCATTGCAGGTTCCATCTTGCAACGGTAAACGACGCGCAAAACTAGTTCCATTGCCCGACTGTGTAAGGAGATGAATTTGCATGAGTTGTCACTTGAAATTTCGCGCTTACGTCTGCTTCGTTATTATGCAATGGATGTGAAACTCCACGTAACATAAACATTTCCAAATATGAATTAAACTGGGAAATCATGTTTAATAATGCGACGGCATCATAATAAATTCTGAAAAAGATTAAAACTAAGATTTTTACGTATCTTATCTTCTGGTTTAGGAAACTCTGCAACTTTACATTGGATTTAAAAAAATTTAACGTGGGAAAATTCATTCAAACGTCCAACGCTTTAGCATTTAGCAATATTGCCATACCAGTCAAACCCATTCTAACTAAGCTCTACATAAGTTTATGTACTAACTTCTTATGCTTTTAGTTTCCCGAAATTTGACATAACTCATGGAAAGGAAGTATTCGCGATAGTTATATCATTTCTAGATCTCTTACTGGGTTCACCGGCGATTTGTGCATATAAAGCGAAATTAGAGGATTAATTTAATTCCTATATTTATAATGACAAATACTAGTTGCGAATTTACAACGCTCTGCCTTTTTTGGAGAAAAGGACGTAAGCACAATTTCATAAACCGAAAGATTCGTTTCGCGTATAAACAGACGAACTCACAGACAGACATACATGTTTAAAATGACTCAATTTATCAAACAGATTATTTATATGTACATTTTATGGGATCTTTGTTGCAAACATAATATACTCTGTTCAGGGTATTAAAATAGGTATTTCAAATTCGACAAAAAGTTTAACTTGTAGGAAATTGCGATTAGAT